CATTAAATTTAGTAATACTATTTCTCGGGCATTAGGTTTTAACTCTTATAAGAATATCAGAAACGAAACTAATTCAAATCGTAGATTTAACTCAAATCGAGACCCTTATTCCTTCTCTAATAAAAAGAGATACCATTTTGTTTTCGGTTGTACAAGAAAGAAGATCAAGCATTTTTCTTTTTTAAATTTAATAAGCCACATTAAAGAAGGAACGTTGCAATGCTACACGCTACATTAAAGACGTCTCCAGAGTAACTGAATGACGGTTCATATAGAAATCGCAGGTATGCGTCTCATACAACAACGTCTCCTATAGTTCGTTGCGATCGCGAATATGAATTTGAATATGTAGTTAAAAACAGAATAGCTGAATGCTAGTTGAAGTTATTCTTTCAAAACTAAAAAATACTTATCAAGAAAACGATAAAAAGTAATTAAGAATATGCACAAATCAACTATTTCAAGTAATTTGGATAATTTTTTATTTTTGTTTTCCGGATTATATGGATACAGAAATATATACTATTCTATAACGAAGACGAATATTCTATAACTATTATAGTTCTGTACATTCTGAATTCACATTTATTCATTGGAATGGCGAAAGCAATGTTGACTTCACTTCAATTTGTAATAAATTGAAGACAGAAGAAATGCATTTTACCTTAATACACACATCTGTAATAGTACGCGTGAGCGAAATCGGAAGTTATCAGTTGCAAGTTTGTTGATAATAGAAGTTAAAAATTATTGAGAAATTTTTCTTCAAATGTTCGGCGCGTTCTGGGTCTGAAAGATATCCCAATATTCTGAGGTATCCCAAAAAAGATATCCCAATCAGATTTTTTTCAAGTTCTTCGGTTTTTCCTTAGGGAAATTTTTATTTTTATTTGCTGCTAAGAAAATGGCGTCTGATTCTGCCAATGATTTTGATGGAACTAAATGAAAACGTGATAAATTAATGACTTTTCAGGCTAAGAGTACGTAAGAGAAATAAATGCACTAATGTCCATAAATTAACGATAATGTCATGAGCGGCAAATAAAGGTCCAGAAACAAAGCAAACGTAATTTACTCATAAAGTCCATTTTTAAACAAAAACAAAAAATATGTGTGTATACCATTCATAAAAACTACGATGTTTGCACCATGGAACAATCATAAAAAATATCTCTTTTAGAAAATCTTAAAAATACATAGTTGGCATGATGGTTAATACATTAATATATCCCACTTGGTGAAATACAATCCGAACAACGTACATGCTGAGTATCAAATTATCGAGCTGATCTTGGGGAAGATACTCCAAACATCAAGCAATGCTCTCCAAAGTTCCAGAGCACATATTGAAGGTGGTTGACTGACTTCAAGCCATGACGGGCTGGCCATTCCATGTGGGTGGTATCCTCACATTGACAGTATTTGTTCAGGATGTTTGCTCGGAGAGAGCGAGCGTTGATATTCATAAACACAAATTCTGCGTCCATGACAACCCTAAACTAACGTATATGTTGTTCCAGTATGATGTCCAGATAAATTTGTCTTGTTTCCAATTTGATTCCGATAATTCCACCTCAAACGAGGAATTCTGCACCACCGTTATGGTGCTGTTGAATCCTGTTGGTAACGGGTACCTGGCTTTCTCCATGTGAAAGTCCGAAGTGAATCTGAGGGCAAGCTATACCTGGACTAGTCCGAAAACATCACATAAACCCCTCTAAGACGATATCCGCATTGCATAATCTCTACTCCTCGATAATCGCTGCGAAAATGACTTGCCGTGAGTGCAACACATCTGACAAGCTAAAGAGTATATATATAGATCAATATTTCTCAAACGTCTGTACACGATTTGTCTTGAAACTGTGGTACCCTTGGCTGATGTGTATCACTATTTACACAATAATATTGGTAAAAGATCAATGAACACTTTTTGAAACATTTAGTTCGTTTTCGTAGAAGTTATACCAAGTTTATTGTAGTCTTTTGCATATGATTCGAAGATTCATATGATTCGATATGACATTGAAGACAAATAAGAATGGAATGGAATAAAATTGAACCTGCTACATATTCTAGTACTTAATTATACAGACAGTTTTTTTTAAAAAATTATATCAGGAAAACATTTAAGGTAGGAAAATACATTCTTGCAGTAAATTTATGCAACAGGGCATAAATATCCCCCCCCCCCTCGAGTTCCTGGTTTAAGTTCTAAAACATTTTGACAGCATTGCGATTCCCTTTAATTTTTTTCGGGAATTTTACTGTATGCAAATTTCCTTCTTATATTAAAACAAGATTGTGGCTAATGATGGACATTTCGAAAATATCATAATCTGATTTTCATTCCTTGAAAGATTTCTAAAAATTGCCGTGTGATTTTCAATCCTTTTCTTTAATTTTTTTTAAATTTATTTATAGGTTTGCTTTTTTTAAATTTATTTATAGGTTTGCTTTTTTTAGTGCTGTCTATCAAAACATTTTTGGACCAAAATCAGGAATACTAGGAAGACGATTTATGCACTTTCACATGACCAAGAGTTGTTGCTAGCCGTTTTCCTGTCATTTTTATTTTAAAAAAAAGTGGTCTAATTTAAGGCACTTTGTACATAGCTTACGTTTAACAAAGAAAAACCTATGTTAAAAAAATAATTCTTTCGAATTTTTGAAGATTCTAATAAAAATTTGTATAGACTTTAATGGCGCAAATTAAACCTATTATTCTAAATTCAATGCTTACTTTTAAATGAGATTCCATTTTGGTTTTCCCGAAGCCTAGATCGCGTAGCATGTGCAATGAAAATCGTCTTTGTTCTTTCCATGGCAAGCCTATTATTGCTTCGCTTTCTGTAAAATAATACATTTATTCAAAATTATTGATATTGCTTATAATTAAAAACTGTGGAGTAATTCTCTTCCAAGTTATGTGTTCAACAACCCCAAATACCCGTGTGAAAGGATACTTTATTTCAGATTAACGACTAATCGAGCTTACATCTACACTCAAGATAGGGTAGTTAAATCCTAACACCAATAAAGAGAAATACCAGACACCGAGATTGCGTTCATTAACAACTTCGGTTGATTATTTTGAATTATTTTCACCTCCGTGAATCTAATATTGTCGAAAATTTGAAATAGTCAGTTGCCAAACACGGCCTTTTAATCAAGCACGTTTGGCTTTTTTTTCAAGCTTGAAAAGGTTGGAAATTGCGCGAGTTAAAAAATATCGTTTCTTAAATATATTCTATTTTATAAAAGGTAAGTGCAATTTTTAAATGTGAAATAAATATTATTCTACCTAAGTTTGTGCATATCTGTAAATTAAATCATTTTATTGTATATACTTTCTTTCCGTTTCTGTTCTGATAATTCAGCCAAATTCATATTTATCCTAATATTCTTTCAGTAACATTTTTAGATTTTTCTCTAAAAGGAAGCTATGACAATAATAGTCAAAATATATTGTAGTATTATAATTTGCATTATTCGAATTAATCTTAATATTACTTTTTAAAATATTTATAAATTTAAAAAGAAATCAGTTATTTATTAATTTCATGAGCATTACAAAAAATGTTTGCAAAATTAAACATTAATTTAACGTTTAGTGACTATAGAATCATAGGTAATAAAATTCTGTATTGTTTCATTATATGGTTACCGTTTTCTAAATTGATTTTTCCCTTTAGTTTTAGGCTTTATTTATTAATCAGGTGGAAAAATAGTGTGCATTCTAGGAAAGAGTTAGCACATACTTTGAGATGTTTCACTCTGTTCAATAGGCAAATCAGGAGGTCTTCCCATGAAAGCATCACTTGCGAAAGCTTCTTTTATGAGTTTGAAATCAGTTATCACCAAAACATTTCGACTTCCCATACGAATACTGTGAAAAAAATGAGATTGATAATAAATGATTATTTCGATCAACCTTGTTTCTCTTATAAGACAGGAAAAATGTGCTTGTATTTTTTTAAAATTGTATTTTCTACTTTTCCACCATAAAAGCAATTTTACATTTCGGGCACGTGATTATTGATTGGTTACATGCAACTCGAGAAGAAGAATACGCGATTATACTCGACCTTGTGATTAAAATCAGATTTAATTGGAAGCCTGTAAGCGATGTTATGAGAGTGGGTGTCGAACTTGATCAACTTCTAAATCGACGAATGCGACGATTTACCCACAATGACGTTAGGTGCAGATATTCAGTTGAGGATCAAGGGGGAAGAACGGTTTCTGCCCATTTCTCACAAAAATGACGATTTGTTCACCATGCGTTGCATTTTGAGGACTACTAAGTTTTGGCAAATCATTAACATAGAAAATCGATTCTCCTCGAGAGTTATTGCTCAGTGAAGATGAGGCGTGTGGTAGAAAAACTGCTCATGTTCGCGTCGAAATTCGTTTTGCCCTCAGAATAAGCTTTTATGGATAGAAACCGTCTTCATTTATGATACTGCATATATTGTTTCGCAATTGCAAAAAAAAGTAAGCTTTTATGGTTTGTAATGCTGTATAGAGTTTAAAATTGCAAAACAATTAAATTTGAAAACAAAAAAGTGTTTTTTAGAAAAATTACCGACGCCGTTGGACCGTTTGGAGGGAAATAAGTGATTTGCTTTTTTAAACTGACGAGGGATAGGAGAGGCACAATCATCGAAATATGGATATGAATTATTAGAAAGGATATTCTGGGCAGTGAGTTTGCATTAATTTTATATTTTAGTTGATTTTGATTAAAAGTATATTGTCAGCCACCTGATAATATATCTAGTGATCAGTGCTACAATTTAATTTTTGCAAAAATCTTTTAAATGAGAAAACAAAAACAAACAAACAAAAAAAAACTCGCCGGGTTTAATAAAAGAGAGATATATTTATGAGTTTGCATACACCCCACCAAAAAATATTGCAATTGCTCCCGCTAATCCTAGCTTTAAATAAAAAGCTGCACGTCCATACTATAAACAAAATTTTTTTCTTCTTCAGATTCTTCCAATAATAAAAAAAACAAAAACTAATCATTTTATTTTTTTCAAAATTGTTAGTAGTACTGAATCCCTTTCTGCATGTTAGAAAGACTCTTAAACTATAGTAACTAAATTTAAAACTGCAGTACTCTCTTAACTGGATTTTAAAGGCAATTTTTTTAGGCCAGATGTATAAATACAGTAATACATATTCGTTCAAGGGAGCAAATATCACGTTACCTATATTTTTTTTAATGTTACATTTGTAAAATGTTTTAAATTTCTGTTAGAGACATCTTACAAATTCCTGAACAGATTCTTGTGAAATGTTTTAACTTGATGTAGTTGACTAAACTTTTGTACTTCATGGTTTATTTATTTCTATAGCATGTTTTATTCGATTTTCAACGCATTGAAAGTTCTAATTGTTTTTCCTTTATTTCTGCCATAAAATAGATTGAGCAAAAAAAAAAAAAAAAAAAAAAAAAAAAAAAAAAAAAAAAAAAAAGGAAAAAAGAAAAAAAAAAGATTACTCTGAATAATTTTTCATCTAATGATCGGATTTTTACGTTCTCATTCTTATAAGTTCGAGGGGGTGACTTTAAATATGGTAATTAATTAGACGCAAAAATGTATTTTTCCTGAATAGACATACCACTTCTTCCGACGGATTCTGATTTTCTGACCCCCAAAGTATAGACGCAATCTGGAAAATATGGTCCACATAGTTTGATCAGAAGAGTGATCCAAAGTTTGTACCTCTTAATGTTAATTTTATTTTTTGCGTATTTCGCCATATCTCGAAAACTTTTAAAGCTAAAGTAAAAAAAATTTTGCACATGATTATAAAATTCGTTTACCAAAAGATAATTCGACGCAAAAAAAGTTTCAGTAAATATTTATTATTTTTTATTATTTTATTTAATAGCAGCAGAAAAGTTTTTAAATTATAAGATATAACATTTTTTACATCATTTTAAAGTATTTAAATTTGCAGGGCAAAATAAAAAACTTAAGAGAAATCGGACGAACAGTTTCTGAGAAATGGAAATTTAAATATACGCTTTTCTTAAAATTCGATTTTTCAAGATGTATTCTACCGATTTCGCACTAATTTTGTATTTTGCTATGGAAATTAAATACTTCAAAATGTTGCAAAAATTTTCATACTTTACAACTCAAAATTGTTTCGGCTAATATTAAATAAAATAATTTGTCTTTACTGAAATTTATTTTTTGCGTCGAATTATCTTTGGGTCGCAAGCTTTATAATTGTGTGCAAAAATTTTCAATTTTCTTGAAAAACTGGAGATTTAAAGAAATACTCAAAAAATAAAATTAATATTAAATGGTCTGAACTTTGGACCACTATCTTGACCAAACTATGGGGACCATACTTTTCAAATTGCGGCTATCCTCTTTATTTTGGAGTCAAAAGTACAATCCGAAAAAAAGGTATGTTTATTCAGAGAAAGTACATTTTTGTGTCTGATTTCGTAACTGAAAACATCGTCTGCACTATTAAATTAGAATATTTGAGGTCACTTACTCGAACCATTAAGAACGAGTCATAGAACGTGAAGACCAAAAGTTATTCAGGGTGGACCGTTTTTTTAGCGCAGTACATTAAGTTTTAAACAATTATGTCAGTTTTTTGTGAATTTTCTGTGTCAAAAACTGTATCTAACAATTTTCTTCTCCTTTTTGCGAGTTTTACAGAGAAAAAAACTATGAGCACTGAGACAATAAAAAAGGTCAAGATTCTTGTACTCTTGACACAAATACCATCAAAAGTGAACAGACTACATAATTCAGTTCATAAAATTTACTTATATCAACGGTTTTATCACTGTTCGTATATAAAGGAAAAGTTTTTTTTTATTTCACGCATATTATGAGTAAAAAAGAAAAACCTAATCCCTAAAATCTAACCTGTATATTGGTACATAAGTATCAGCCATTGTGCCAGTTTTACCTAGAATTTCTTAATCACAAATAGTAAATTGCCTACAATTGGTAGACAGATTAGTCTTGTCTATAAATTTCTTTCCTGTCTTTTTTTAAGAGCCATACAGAGATAAAAATATCAGCACTGAGACAATCGAAAAGACCAATGTATCTATTTTTGAAATCTTGACACCGAAAACGGATGGACATAATTTAGTTCTTTAAAAAATTACCTACATTATGATCAATATCATTGATCAATAAAAAAGGTCATATTTCGTATCACACAACGTACTAAAAAATAAACTTGATACTAACCTGTATATTGGCCCATAAGTATCCGCCAAGAGTGTCAGTTTTACGTAAATTTTCTTCGTCAAAAACGGTAGGTAGCCCACAATTGGTAGTCCTATAGGTCCTGGTAATGATTTTCTTCCTTGTATCCTTTTTGATAGCCATATGGAAAGAAAAATTACCAACACTGATACAATCAATATGGTCAGTGTATCCATTTTCAAGCACTTAAAATCATCAAAAATGGACTAGATAATTCGATTCTTTGAAACAATTACTTCCATTAGACGACCTTATCAAAATAAGAAGAAAAACATTCTTTTATTCTACACATTGTTTGAATGAAGCGAAACAGAATTGTTTGGGATGAGAGCTTATGACGTCATCTCATGACGTAATCTAAGAGGTTATATAATTCAACACAATTATTTGTGTTTTTCCTCTTGTCCTTGACTCGTTATCACGCAAAATTTTTTTCTTTGAGGCAAGAACATTTATATTTAGTTTTATATATTTTTTTAATCAGAATGTTTATTCTTTTTGTGTGCATGTTGCTATCGTATTTATAAAATCTAGCTTTATGATCGAGCAAAAGTATTTATAAGGAAAATATTAAAAGCTTTCACTATTTTGTGGACAATTTAAAAGTTTAGAAACCTAAACACTTTTTCACCTAATTTTCCCCCCTTCTTGTTTTATTTATTTTCAAAAAATAAATTGAACTTTTTTGAAAAAAATAGATTGCATTGTTTTAAATTTTTTTTAATAATATCTTTTTAATTTAATTTCAATATTTTGTAAATAAACGAATTTAGTAAAACAATTTTCCATTCTGTTTCTTAATAGGAAAGGCGTGGCCGAGTTGTAAAAGTGTGCCAAATAAATTAACCTTTCCTTTTATGTTCGTTAAAAGCTTAATATCTGATGTGTTGTGTTCAAAATAAAAAAGACAATCACCCTAACTAACTTTCGTTAAAATGATTATACTTTCATTCAGATCTCCTCTGAAATATGAGGAATGGTTTAAAGGACCAATATGTACTAATTATTAATTAGTAATTATCAAGTAACGGTATCAGACACAAAAATACACTTTCTATAAATAAACTTTTTTTTAAACTGATTATTAAGTCTTGATTATTGAAATATAAGGGGTAGCTACAATCTGGAAAGTATAACCCCGATAGTTTAATCAGGAGAGTTGTCGAAAATATATATCCTTTAAAGTTAATTTAACTTTTTGCTTATTTTGCAAAAGTGAATACAAACTTTTGCACATATTTATAAGACTTAATGAGTCAAAAATAACTCGACGTCAAAAATATTTTTCAATAACTATGATTATTAAAAAATTTAATAATTTTATTACTAATTATGATTGTTTTTATAGTTATGATTTTTTATTAATTTATTTAATAATGGTAGAAAAATTTTGAATTTTAAAGTTTAAGCATTATAATTTTGAGCTATGTAATGTTAAATGACAAAATCCAAAATTTGAGCAGAATTAGTCGAATAGCTCTTGAGAAATTGAATTTTAAAAATATGTTTTTTCTTGAAATTTTATAATTTAGAAACGATTCAACTTATCCCCGTTGAAGTTTGTGTTTACTTCTCCTGTTATCTTTACCATGACCGTTAAACTAAGAAAACTGGTTTTTGATTCATTTATGTACTATACAAACTTTTTTTTGACTAGTAATTTTTTTCTTTATTTCAACCTTGACCAAATTTCAATAACAATTAAAAAGCAATTGTTACTTTTAGTTTATTAATTCTAAACGTAAGAAATGAAAAGTTTTTACTATTAGTTTTTTTGTGTGGATAAGTAGCAGAACTGGTGATACGAAAAAAATGCCGGCATTTAACCAATGACTGTGCTAGTAATGCCGGACGGATATATATGTTAATCTATAAAAAATGGTTATGTACGTCGAGGGTAAAAAGGCATGGTTAAAAATAGCGATTTCATGGGAGATGAAGAGCTTAATTTTTAAAACAGTTCGACGTGTTCAGATGATTTCCTAGTTGTTTAAGGAAACGTTTCTGTTCGAGTAAAATCTGACTTATTTCATGCTTGAAGAATCAGCAGAATAGTGACAAATAATGTGATATTCCGCTCTGATGAATTCCTAATAAAATTATTCCGCATTTTATCTTTCGCTTAAATTGTTGCGGCTTGGCGACAGAAGGTGTGCAATTGAGTAGTTATTATAGCGGCGTTTTTTATTCTGAAAAGGCAAGGTAAGTGATTGTTTTATGCGATGTAACTCTCGTATATCTTTCCTTTAAATTAATACTTGAACCTATTTTGATTGAGAAAATTTTTTGAAGAGAAGTTTTTATATATTGAAACATTAGAATAACTATTTAAGTCACTATTAAAGATGACTCTTATTGATAATTTTTTTATAAAACTATTTTAGCTTAACTGTACATATATGAGTATGGGGGATAACCTATTGAAACCAAGCTAAGTAAGTAAATAAAATAAAAAGTAAATGGCAATACAAGAAGAAAAACAAGAGTTTATATAAGTTAACAGCTTTCCTATTGCATTTTTCATACTTTTAATGTATCTTACAAGTATATATTTTATTGTTTTGTCAATGAAGATGATCCCAACTCAGAAGACAAGAGAACTTCTGTCTTAGAAAATATTGCGATTGGTATAAGGGATCTGTAGTTAAAAATATGAAAAAGAGCGTTAAGCTTTGAAACAAGATCGGGCTATTGGGTAATCTTATTATGAGCCAAATATCTAGTTCGGTATTCTGAATCATCAATTAGGCGATATGCTTGAATTTCCATCAAATTAGTCCCCTTTCTTCGCAGAAATCCCCAACCAGTCTTTGTTCCATTTCTTATAATTTTTCTCCCATATCATTATTAACTATATAATCAAAACTTACACCTAATCTCTGTACGAGTATTCGTAAATATTCCCCTTCAATTCCCTCAAATCATGGAGGGTGGGCCTGGTTCTCTTATGCTTACATTCAAACAGTTCAAAAGTGGATGCTTTTTATTTTGCGTATTCGAACGATATTAACTTCGGAATATCTGTCACTTTTAGAGCTTAACGGATTAAAAAAGTGCTTTTGAAAATGAACGTTAAAAATTGTTTCTATCACGTAAAACTACAGAAAGGATTTTTTTTGTTTGTAAAATTTCATAAAATACTGACTCAATTGATTGCGTTGGATTGTGAAGAGACGTAATTTAGTACTAGAAGCTTGACTGGTGGCACGCTGGATACCTACATATCGTATATCAAAATACACATTTTTTTAATTTCGTAATTTTATTCCTCTTTTTTTACAATATTTCGTCTTTTCCTTAAAAATTAACATCAGCATGATGAGATGTCATTTAATCATAATTACGTAAATAAATCTGTTTTATACTTATCTGTTTTATATCATTCTAATTACGTAAATAAATCTGTTTTATACTTTGCTAAAAATCTTACAAATATTTTGAAAAACTCAACAGATTTTCGCACACTAAGAACCAATTTATCTTTTTTTTTCATACATGTTAGGGAACTGATAATTCCATTTTAATTACTGGAGGCTGATTTCCGTATTCAAGTACCGTTGTAAAAATCAATGCTTTAGAAATGAATTAAGATACATTTTATGTATAAAAAAAATTAGAAGTAATTAATGGTGAATTTTTTTCTTATGCCTGTTATTTTTCAGATTTTGAGAAGAATAAAGCCTATAATGCAACAGAAGTTTTACGTCAAAAACTGAATATTGAATTAATTGCACAGTCCTGATTACGTTGATGTGCTGTAAAGAAGGTGTAGTTCTATTTCATCAATAACATTTTATAATTTCGAATTGTGTTCAGATGATAAACATTTGTTTTTCTTTAAAATCAGATTTTGTTATGTCTTCTTTGCATGAAAAATAACTCCCCATTCCAGCTGCAAATTATTGAGAGAATTTATTGCATTTCCTGTAAATCACTATTTACATTTTTTATCCCTTATAGCAGTATAATTCGATTTTCTATTGGACCAATATTTGCATTTTAGTCGAATAAGATGTATGAGCAATTCTACAAGTAAACGCCAATTAGGCGGCCAAAAACAAATTAAAAAATTTTTGGGGGGCACACTATTTCTACATGAATTTTCTTCTTTTTTACACCCTAAAAAGGCAAGAAAAAATCGTGAACATGATATTTTTTCTTTGTGACATACTTTAAATGTGACATACTCTTTCTGACATACTCAGATAAATCTGANAGAATTAAATTTTTCCCGAGAAATTTCAACTTTGATACCATTAAAAGAAACTGGAACCAAAAGAAACTAAACAAAGGAATTGAAGAGATTTGTAAGAGACTTTTTGAAAACAGAATAGAGGATCTGTCCTAAACCGATCTTTCAACAGTATTCCCTGGATGCCCCGAAATGGGGGCGGGACAGGGTATAGGCGAACTAAACCAAAGATCTAGTTCAGTATTCTGAATAATCAATTAACTGATATGTTTGAATTTCCATCAAATCGGCCCCTTTCCTTTGCAGAAATCCTCAACAGACCGTCGCTGTTCCATTTTTTAATTTTTCTCCCATATCATTATATAATCAAAACTTAACCTAAGCTCTGCACGAGTATTCGTAAATATTCCCCTTTAACTCCTCCTAATCCTGGAGGTGGGCCTGGTTTTCTTATGATTACATTCTATGCATCAAACAGTTCAAAAGTGGACGCTTTATATTTTGCGTATTCGATTGATATTAACTTCTGAATATCAACCATTTTTGGAACTTAACGGATTAAAAAAATGCTTTCGAAAAAGAATGTTAAGAAATGTATCTATCACGTAGAACTACAGAAAGGATTTTTTTTTGTAAAATTTCATAAAATACTGACTCAATTGATTGCGTTGGATGGATTGTGAAGAGTTAGGCTTGACTGGTGGCAAGCTTGGATACCCACTTATCGTATGTCAAAATACAAATTTTTTTATCTCGTAATTTTATCCTCTTTTTTTTACAATACTTCTTCTTATCCTTAAAAATTAACGTCGGCATGATGAGATGTCATTTAATCATCAATATTTCTTCTAATTACGTAAATTAATAGCTGTAATTTTGTATCTGTTTTATACTTTGCTAAAAATCTGGCAGGTATTTTGAAAACCTCAACAGATTTTTGCTCGCCAAAAACCAATTTATCTTCTTTTCTTTTTTGATGTATGTTAGGGAACTGATAATTCCATTTTAATTACTGGAGGTCGATTTCCGTATTCAAGTACCGTTTTAAAAATCAATGCTTTCGAAATGAATTAAGATACATTTCATATATAAAAAAATTAGCAGTAATTAATTGCGAAAT